AATTAAGTAAAATTTTGTGTGAAATGTCTGATAAATTGTAGAAGTTCAGTTAAATCCCTGCATTAATTTTTTTTAGAGAAAAATGTGGATGTTGTGCTCATATTCTTTTGCTCCAGATTCATTGGGATTTTTCAAATTACTGTTGTAAATATGAAATCAGTTTAACAATATTATCACATGACTAAAACATATTCCTAATCCCCACTGGGATTGGGAAGTAGTGTGTAGTAGCAATGAGTAAAAAAAGCACAATATGAAACTCATATTGTACTTGCTAGAAAAAGTGATGTCAGGTCATTTAGAACCGTATTTTCTGCTAAATATTTATGATGAAACAAAGACAGTTATTTTGATTATAATAATATTGCACCTAATTCTTTTTATAGCAAAAGATAGCAGGCTTGTATTTGCATATCTGCCTCCCAGGTTGAGATGGAAAGCTAGGAATTTCTGAATCTGCCTGCAATCTCTGTTGAGCTCTCAGCACACTTTCTTACGTGGCCTTGGGGATTATGACTGCGGCCTTACCTTCTCCTACTCATTTTCATAAGGCAGCTACAGTAGTCTTTCTAAAATGCAGCCTGATCAAATCTCCTACCCACTGCATTTCGCATGAAAGGAAATCTCTCTAGGTTGGCATGTAGGGTACTTCACCAGCAGTTTCCTATTGACCTTTCCTGTCTTACATCTTATCGCTGCCCCTTGTAATCTTTGTCTCAAGCTCCTACTACCCCTCTTTGTGTTCTTTTTGGAACTGGCTCTTCCTCCACTTCCTTTTACCTGGTTTTAGGCTAATCCTTCCACCTCTCTCCTCACGGTCACCTTCTCCTCATCTACGTACCTCCCAATTCTGGGTTGTTTGTTTTCTTTTACAAGTGTTTGGTTAGGATTTATTTACACTTTGAAGAAATTATCCCTTTGGAATAGACACGCAGTGATTTTGGAGTAACTTAACTTAAACTGCTCTTCTTGCTGACTGCAGAGTTCAGGAGTACTTCAGGTTGGCCAAGCAAACAGCTGTCTGTGTTGTGATGCCGGCACATTTCCTAACATTATGTTCCTGCCCCTTCGTTCCATTCAGGCCCTCTGAGAATACAGCCTATGAGTTTCTGTGAGTCCCAGGGGGTTCACTTGTCTTTAAATTTTAAGAAAAATCATGGCTGACAATTGTCAACTAGCATCCCAGGAGTCCTCACATAAGGAGGCAGTTTTAAAAGTGCCCTTTAAAAAGGGAAAAATATTTCTTTTAGTTCTGTTGAAAAAAAAAAATCACTGATGTCAGAGACCTGTTTTACCTTAGCAGAAACAATTAGAAAAATATGTGACTAGGTTGTCAAGATTAAAAAAGTGCTAGAATTTCATCAAGTGAACTAAAAATGTAATTTAAAAATTCCTGGGGTACCTGGGTGGCTCAGTCGGTTGAGCATCCGATTCTTGGTTTCACCTCAGGTCATGATCTCACAGTTCGTGAGTTTGAGCCCCAACTCAGGCTCAGTGTTGACAGTGCAGAGTCTACTTGGGATTCTCTGTCTCCCTCTCTCTCTTTTCCCCCATCTCAAAAATAAATAAACTTACAAATCCCTATAAAGAAGTAGAAGAAAGCATAGCTAATAAAGCTCAACGTCTGCATCTCTATTACATAATTTTCTTTTGTTTATGTCCTAATTTTTAAACATTTAAATGTAGTATAATCACTATTTAAAATAGCCTGTTTACTGGGGCGCCTGGGTGGCGCAGTGGGTTAAGCGTCCAACTTCAGCCAGGTCACAATCTCGCGGTCCGTGAGTTCGAGCCCCGCGTCAGGTTCTGGGCTGATGGCTCGGAGCCTGGAGCCTGTTTCCGATTCTGTGTCTCCCTCTCTCTCTGCCCCTCCCCCGTTCATGCTCTGTTTCTCTCTGTCCCAAAATAAATAAAAAACGTTGAAAAAAAATTAAAAAAAAATAGCCTGTTTACTAACCATTTATATAATGTGACCTATAGAAGAGGAGGAAAGGCAATTTTTTTTTAAGTTGATGTAGTTTTAGTAATCTCTATACCCAACATAGGGCTCGAACTCACCACCCTGAGATTAAGAGTCGCAAACTCTTGGGGCACCTGGGTGGCTTAGTTGGTTAAGCTTCTGACTCTTTTTTTTTTTTTTTTAACGTTTATTTATTGTTGAGACAGAGAGAGACAGAGCATGAACAGGGGAAGGTCAGAGAGAGAGACACACAGAATCTAAAACAGGCTCCAGGCCCCGAGCTGTCAGCACAGAGCCCGATGCGGGGCTTGAACTCAAGGACCTCGAAATCATGACCCGAGCCGAAGTCCGCCGCTCAACCGACTGAGCCACCCAGGCGCCCCCTGACTCTTGATTTAGGCTTGGGTCTTGATCTCACAGTTCATGAATTTGAGCCTGGCATTCTGCTCTGCGCTGATACTGTGGATCATGCTTGGGATCCTCTCTCTCTCCCTTTTTCTCTGCCCTTCCCCAGTGCATTCCTGCACTCTTTCTCTCTCACTCTCTCTCTCAAAATAAATAAATAAACTTAAAAAAAAAAAAAAAAAAGAGTCCCATGCTCATCTGATTGAACCAGCCAGGCACCCCAGAAAGGCAACTTTTTGAAAATAAAACAAAATAAAAAATCCAAACAACTCAGTGGAATAACTCTCCCGCTTTTTATTTATTATGAAAAAGTTAATTTTGACTTAAGTGTTTTTAAATAACCTACTATCTTTCTAGAAAGTAACCAATAGAAGTATATATTGGAATTGTTTACATACATGTTTGTTTCTGCTAGGCACTGAACCTTTGTTATTGATACGGCCTATCACCTAGCACATTACCTTAAGAATATTCATATAAATGGAATGAACTACTCTCTGACAAAACTATATCATCTTCAACCAAAAAATTTTGCAAAATTACATCCCTCAGTTCCAAAAGCAGGAAAATACAATTATCAAACCTTCAGTCAACATTACTTACTAAGTTGACCACAGTTTGAACATATTAGGAAGTAGCATAGGATGATAAAAAGCAATATGACAAAGGAAAAAGTTTTAGATAGGAATGGTAAAGACCTTTACGTTATAAAATATTATGCGTATATGTATTACAATGAAGTATATTAGTTCTATAACAAAAAGGTTAAAATATTTGTTATGATTAGAAGAGATACCGATCTCTATTAGAAGTTTTAAGAAGTACACAAACATCCTCTGTCAGAGGTGACTCCTGTCCCACTCTGCTCAGAGATGACTTCCAAAGCTTTCATCTAGAGGCACACCAAATTTCATCAGGGACCACTTAATTATTTTAGCTGTTAAGGTAACCCAAATCAATATCATCATGGGAGCATAGGGAGTAGGAAGAAGAGTTGCATTTTGGAAAACAATCCATGGGAAAATGTTTAATTTGGAAATGCAAATATCTGTTGATTGGGTTTTCAATCAACACTATTCATGTGCACAATAAAGGAATAATGAGGGGCAAAGCAATAGTGACAAAAAAAGAAACAGAAAGAAAGAAAAGAAAGAAAGAAAGAAAGTGACAAAAAAGAAACAGAAAGAAAGAAAGAAAGAAAGAAAGAAAGAAAGAAAGAAAGAAAGAAAAAAGTAGAAGGAAAAGCAGAAGAAAGAATACAGAGGGCACTGAGGGGATTATTTTCATACATTATATTAATTCACATTATATTACATTTGAATAAGGTAATTTTCTTCATCCAAATAATTTCACCACTTTAAACTGTTAAGATATTGGAAAAACCCATCTGGGCCATTCGATATAACCTTTCTTTAAAAATGCCTTTTTTCAGGGGCGCCTGGGTGGCTCAGACGGTTGGGCGTCCGTCTTAGGCTCAGTTTGTGAGTTCGAGCCCCGAGTGGGGCTCTATGATGACAGCTCAGAACCTGGAGCCTGTTTCGGATTCTGTGTCTCCCTCTGTCTCTGCCCCTCCCTCACTTGTGCTCTGTCTCTCTCTGCCACTCAAAAATGAAATAAATGTAAAAAAAAAAAAAAATTTTAAAAATGCCTTTTTTCTAATGCTTGTTTATTTTTGAGAGACAGAGACGGAACATGAGCAGGGGAGGGGCAGACAGAGGGGGAGACACAGAATCCGAAGCAGGCTCCAGGCTCTGAGCTGCCAGCACAGAGCCAGACGTGGGGCTCGAACGCACAAGCCAGGAGGTCATGACCTGAGCTGAAGTCGGGGGCTTAACCGACTGAACCACTCAGGGGCCTCTCAATGTAATCTTTCTGCATCTCTTTTGCTGGGGAGATGGGACGGCGCAAGGAAGACAATGCTTTCTTGGTATGCTCATAAAAGGAATCAGGTAGCATCTTAATTAGACATTAACTTTGGTTCTGTTTGCCAAAGTCCTTCCCCTCCTAGGATTTTCTGGGGTTGGACTGGTGAAATGTAGATACCCAGAGGTTGGATTCAGGAAATTTGTTTCCCATGCCACTGTGTAGCTTGTGACATTGGCACAACACTTAATTTTCAGCTCTTCCATTTTATTGTTTGGGAAATGACAATAATGATGTACCTGTTTTATAAGGTTGTTGTGAAAATGAGTCGGGCCTGTGAATGAAAAGCCCTTTATAAAGTGTAAAATACTCCCGAGATGTGAGTTATCTCCTTTAAAGGACACAGAATCTGTTTCAATTGTATAGGAGATTGCAGAAAGACTCCTTGACACTTTTAGTCAGAACTTGACCCTGCCGAAGCTCTTTGCAAAACGAAAGGGTTCTTGTGCCCCACGTCAGTTTGGGGCAGGGTCACCCACGCTGCCGGTGCGGTCACTGCAGTACTCCATCCTCAGCGGCTGCTTCCCCCCCATCCTCCCACTGGTTTCTCGGGGAGGGCGGCGATGTTCCTAGCCATCTGGGTGGCGCCAGCTAGAGGGCGTGGGCCGGGTGGATCCGCGTAGCGCGGCTGCAGGGAGAGGGCGGGGCGGGGCCTTCCGAGGAGGGCGTGGCCTTGCCTCCCTGGCGTCCTGGCGCTGCTGGCGCGCGGAGCTGGTGAGCCAGCGAGCGGACTGGCGCGCGGCCCCTGCGCACTGGGCTGCCGCCTGCGCGCGTCGCGGGCGCAGCTGCATTTTCGCCTCCGCGGCTCGAGAGCCCAGTCCCGTACGAACCACCTCTGAATCCCGGGAGGACGCGTTCCCCTACGCCCTCCGCACCCGCGCCCCTTCCCCACCGCAACAGGTCAGGGGAGGGCGGAGGCGGAGAGGGCGTACGACTTGCGACTGGAGGAGCAAGGGTCCGGAAGGTAAGCGGAGCCTTTTGCGCCCCCGAGCTGGGGGTCAGCCTGGCCCGGAACGCCGCAGCCGCTGACTTCTGGGAAGCCCAGGCTCTCCCCGCCTCGCTGCCTGCTTCCCAGCACGCTGACTCAAGTAGCTGGCGTTCCCACTTTTCCGGTGGGAACCTTGGCGGGGAACGCGCAACGGAGACGCGGGGCTCGCACCACCCTTATTTGCAAATCCAGGGCAGGTAGCGTCTAGAAAAACGGTGTGGAGCGGTGGGAAACACTGGAAGAGACCCATTCTCCTTCCCCACTCCCCCAGATCTGACATCTGCTGGTGCGCCCCGCGTCTTGCGGAAAGATGTTTGGTTTTGGAACCTGCTCTCAGGGTTGCGTAATAAAGTGTCCCAGAAGTTTCTCGGGCGGTAAAAGCGGGGTTTTTCTCCCACCCGGAGTCTCCCTCCCCTCATCATTGTCACCCCTCCCCCTTGCGTCTAGTTGAGAGAATTTAGTGGTTCCAGTCCGATCTAATTGTGCTTGAGAGGGAGGCATGTGCCGGTGGTCCGCAGCCTCCAGGGAGGGAGGGGAAAGTTGGAGGCACCTTCTGAGACTTGCCCCTGGGGCGGAGGCAGGCTCCGTTTGCCGAACGTGGGACTGCTTAATTTCTCTTGCTAATTTTTTACGCCAGTGTCAGATCCTCTTTGACTTCTGCTAGCGAGCCCTCAGGCGTCACGTGCGCCAGGGTCGTCGAATTAAAAGGGAGAGAAATTGGGAGAGTTGTGTGAATCGTACTTCACCTTGGTGTAATAGTAGTTACGTTAATGAATCTGCGAGGGACCTTCGAGCGCCTTGATACTTTCTTACTAGGTTAGTTTTCCGGGAGTTTCTATACACACTTACACCCCATTGTTGTTATGCAAATTGTCTCAGGAAGACCTTTGGATTTGGAGGTGGAGATGTCCGTATCTTCCGGGAGCCAGTCTCTTTTTGGGGGAGCGCTCGCAGTTTTTTTTGTTTTTGTTTTTTTTTTTTCAGTGTTAGATGGGGGTAATTTTAACCCTGTTGGTGTACGTTGAGGGCGGGGCCGGGGAGATGATACACCGTCGAGGAACCCGACAGATTTAAACCTTCAAGGAGAAACCGTAATTAAGACCCACGAAGACCCAGTGTTCCCTGAGACAGTTGCAAAGTGAAAAAAGCTCAGAAATTGAGGCACAGAAAAACATCAGGCGACCGAACGGCCTGAGAGGTGTGGGAATTTTGCTCGTGCAAGATTATTTCAGAGCAAGGTCATGCAGAGTTCGTAGAAGGTAGGCAGAGGTGGGATACTTCTGGAGCTACCTATGTCAGGCTCCGGGTGGAGATAGAAAAAGAAAAGACCTTTGGACTGGGAGTCTAGTTCTGCTCGGAGGCTTGAGCATACCTAGGCATGGCCCTGTTTCAATGTTTACTTCCTCTGTCTAATGTATTTCCTTAGCTTGCCTTTCATCTTTAGTGGAAAGGATTCCTTCAGTGGATATTCTGGAAATAAATTTACAGGAGAGTTGAAAATTCTGGATGGTTCTCCTGCTTTAATTTAAAGACAAATTTAATTTGTCTCTTGCCAGTGACAGAAAATATTGTATTGGTGATAAATATGCAGAAAAGTAATGGAAAGTACTAAACAATAATAACCCAAGAAAAGGAAGGGAGAGTAGGAGAGAAAGCAAGAGAGAAACTCCTGGTACTTGTGTAAAACTAGAAAAATGAATTTGAATTTAGCTCATTTAGGAGAGGGGGAACCACAGAAAGGACTTGGGATGATTTGGTCACTTTAAGACAAAGAAGTATGGAAGAGGAGGACAAAAGGCTTTGAAAAAAATGAGTTTAGATATTGAGAGCTTACTTCCATCCCCCCGCACCCTCCCCTTCTTTTCTTTTTCTAAATATAACTTGCAGGGATGGTGAGGCTGGAGGTATGGGACTTGCAGACATGGTGTGAACTCTTAGCTTTCCACCTGCAGAAAGAAAATGAACTGTTACATATCAAAGTTAACAGGTTTTATTCATTCACTATAGCAATTGAATTTCTGTAGTGGCTTTGGCATTTGTGATTTGCTTAACTCTTCAACTTTGTAAAAATACAATTTTGAAGAATCACAGCGTGTTAAATTAGAATACAAAAATCATCCAGAGATAGAATTTATGGTCAGAAAATTTCAGTGATTTTAAACATTGCTTTCTCCTGCAAAATGTGGAGTATGCATGCATTTTTTTTTTGCCACCAGAAGTCACTGTTTCACTGTAGGGTTATAAGACCTAGTACTTTGAAGCAGTAGTAGTTAGAGACTACATCAAAACTGGCTGTCTCTCCTATTTCCTATCTGGTTTGACTGAATTTTTGCAAGCAGTGGGTTGAGCTAAAAGTTAACTGTTTTATTAACCAAGAATCTCAATTGGATTTTGGATTAAATTTGGAAGAGTGCCGTTCAATTAAGATACACAGATGAATTGCATGTTTGTTAGGAACTTCTACACATCACTGTAGCTATGTGAGGGTTTAGTTGAAGTTATATTGCCTTGAGTTGAAAAGTAAAAAAAATAGGTTTAGAAAAGGTAACCTTGTTTTCCATATATTTTTTCCTTTTTTTCAAGAAGCATTTGGAAGGAATTTCATGCTGCATGGTAATTTGTGTTTTCATCAAACAAATTTGCGTCATCATTTATGAAGTTAATTGGTTGTTAAAAGTATAAATCTTGAGATGGACTTATACTTTCACTTTTTAAAAGGCAGAGCTAATTTATGTATAAATATTTGGATGGTTATAAGACACACACAGGGAACAATATACCCTGCAGGTGTTTATGAAGGTATGGCAGCATAATTAGGATAGTGTCCTTACTATTAAAGCCCTACACTGAAAGCTGACCTTCAACTTGAATTTATTAGCTAACTTAGATATGTCTGTGGAAGATAAATGCTTGAAGTTCCCCTATTTTAAGACTCCAGATAATTAACTAATTTTTCAGGAGATTGAGAAAGTATGTTGGAGAGATTACAAATTAAGGAGCTGCCTGAACATAAATGTACAGAGTTTTGTACATAAGTTATATTTTCCTTATTAAGTTACAAATTCTGTTCCCAAATGATATTTAATTGGCAGTAGTTTTCTAGCTGTCTTTTTTATACACAGTTTTTTTTTTTAAATATATGCTGAATTGATTCTCAGATTTTATTAAAATAGATTTCATAAACCCTATAATCCATTTATTAAAATTCTACCACGGTGCAGAAGTAAATGTGAATATGTAGTTCTTTGTAGGTACATATCCTTTATTCCTGACTGTTTACATAGGCACAACAGATTATTGTACACTTGAAACTGAGAGATTCTAAGGCCATCAGGGTTGCTAATAGGAGTTTCTATTACTTCTGCTTTAGTACAGAACTCCTTCAGCAGTGTTCTCCAGGGGAAGAAAATCAGCTGATTTTCTTAAATTAGCTGGCCCATTTTAAACATGACTAAGGATTTCTTGTTAGAGTGACTTTTTCCTATTAAAAGGCTGAAATTATTGTGACAAGTGGAGCCCAGAGGAGTCAGTTACATCATTCATATAATACCTCATATTCATTCCTAATACCTCATAAGTATCGAACATCTTCTGTGTGCCTCTCAGTACGCTAAGCTTTGGAGAAAATGTGATAACACCATGATCAAGAAAGAGAAAGTGCTCTTGCAGGTGGATTTTACGTTCATGTAGCATAAAACCTATTTACCAACAGCTTTCATTTCAGCCTAATTACAACTCTAAAGTTGGAGTTCATTTTCCATTTTAAAATCAGGAAATTGAGTTGAAGAAGTTAAGTGACTTGACTCTGACTCAAAGCCTGGTGCCCTTTCCACTATGGTACACTGAGTTGGCTTTGTTGATGTGTGGTTTCCTGTTTTTCAAGAATTACAGCTTGACTCTAAAGTATAAATAGTGTTTCTCCTTGGCAAAGTAATTCTTTCTGATCATTATGGGAATAAAAAAGCAGGTATTTTCATTTAGCATTCTGGACATGTATTTGTGACTCCAAGGGAAAATATTGTGCAGGCCTATTAAAAAGACATGTGATGTTTATTTGCACCATATAAATATCCTTACCTTCCTAAGAATTATATGCAAGGGCTTATAAGCCATCTCCCTTAGTGCTTCAAATCTATTAGAGTTATGAAAGGTCAGTCACATCAGTATGTAAATCAGGATATAGCCATACCATTTCCTTCAATCTTATAGATTCAGTGAATTTATGCAGTGTAGCAGTGGTTTGCAAACTTCTAATGTCAGAATCTTCTGGAAGTCTTGTTAAAACACATCTTCCAGGCCCACCCCCCCATCCCCCTCCCAAGCTTTTGATTCAGTGGGTCTGGGGTAATACCCAAGAATTTGCATTGTAACATGTTCACAGGTGATACTGATGATGCTAGTTCTGGAACTACACTTTGAGAAGTGCCATACGGCAGAGCATTTAAAAGCACGGTTACTAAGCCACACAGCTTGGGCTTGAATCTTGCACATGCCACCTACGAGCTGTCAGACCTTAGGCACATTAACTTTTTGTCAAAAATTGTGAAGGCTTTGAGATTCTACCCTACTTTCAAGCTAACAAGTTAACCTGCTACAGTTTCACGGGCTCTTGGGAATGACTTTATTACTCACAGTAATAGCTGTAGAGAGAGTATCAACATTTCCTTATACTGGTTCCCTAAGCCCCAGTTTCCAAAGAGAGATGTGGAGAGAGTCAGATGACACTTGGAAACAAAATGGGTTGCATTACAGGTGAGGAATCCTGAGCTTAGGGAATTCTAATCTTTTATAATGGGCAGTAAGCATGTCTGCCCTTTGCTCCAGAGGGGGAGATATCTTGTTTATACTGCACAGTAAACATGCTGCCTTGTACTATAGGAGACACTATCTCTATTTTCCAAGGCCGTTCTCTATACAAACATCCTTAAAGATCGGAACAAAGACAGCTGGTGCCTCTGCTTGTATAATGTGCAGAA